TATGACAAGTTTCTAGAGCTAGCAGTTATAACAATATAACAAATCAGTAACAATAAATTCAATAATATCAAGTTAAGTAAATCACGTAACAGACTCTTCTAGTCTCGGTTTATCATCCCCTCTCAAGTGAAAGGGTTTGGCAACTATACAAAGCTGAGTTTTGAGGAACAAAAACCTTGAACTTGTCAGGTGCTTAGTCAATAGATCTGCAGGTTGCTCTTCAGTAATAACAAAATGCAGTTGTATCTTTCCTCTTATAACTTGATCTCAGATAAAGTGAAGATCGATTTCTATGTGTTTCGTTCTAACATGAAATACAAAGTTCTTGCAGCAAGGGTTGCATCCTTTTGGAGATTGCTTCAAGAGCTGTCAAAGATTTTTCTGTTTCTATTATTTTTAATTTTCATGCAACTAATAAGCTATTGTCCTAGTCTCTAGGAGTTAGTTAATATGTTATCAGTTTTGTTTTTCTTAGTTTGAATATATACGTGTAACAATTGCAATGAAAGTATCCAATGAGATTATTCATTTAATTTGAAATAAATTCAAATATAATTTTTGTTGTTTCTTCTCTTCTTCCTATCGCTTCTCTTCTTCCTATCTTTATTTCTTCTTAAATTCAAATATAATTTTTGTTGTCTCTTCTCTTCTTCCTATCTTTATTTCTTCTCATAAATATTTTTATTTTAAATATTTTTAATTAATATCAGAGCAATTTATTTTAAAAGGACCTGTAATGAAGGCAGAAATAAGTTTTTCTTATATTTCTTTTCCCATTTTTAATGAAGAAAATTATCAATTTTGAAGAATAAAAATGGAGACTTATTTGAAGGTTTCGGATCTTTAGGAAGCCGTTGAAAAAGATTATGAAGTTTTTCCTTTACTAAATAATCCAACAGTAACTCAGATAAAAAATCATAACGAGAGAAAAACAAGGAAATCAAAAGCTGTAATGGTCTCTTAAGTTCTGGGTCTTGTAAGGAAGCACCCATTTAGGCCTTGATGACAGTGATGGAGCACTAGACGATGAGGGTTTTGGTTGATCATCCATGGTTAGAGACTCAAAACCTGGAGCGGGTTCAAAAGGACTCAAGAAAAAGCTTCAGTCTTCGGTCTTGAATCCGTCTTTCCTTTTCTCTCTCCCTCTCTAGTGATGAGAACTGAGAACGAAGACTTTTTGCGCTGTCTGATGAATGGGTAAACTACATCTTACTCCTTGTAGTCTGAAAGAATGACTCATTAGTATTTGTAGTTTCATAAATTATACACTAATGCAAAGTTTTTTTAAAGTCAAAGTTATTAAACCTTATTAGCCTACGACCCGGTACAAGGAAAGGAATGTTTTACAGGTTGTATAAGTTAATTTAAATTGATTCAAGTTAATTAAAATAATATAATTTTAATTTTTTAAAGTAAAAACAACATTATTTTATGAAATTTAACGAGAAAAGAAGGATTTTATGAAAAAAAACCAATGAATTAACCAAGGACTGTTTAATTATTTTTATATACTACAGGTTTAATTAATTAGTCTTAATAAACTATAGGGAGTAAGTTGCAATTAAGTCTATGATGAGTAGACTAGATTCTCTTTTAGGACACGGACACGAGTCTCTCTCTCTCTCTCTGTCTAGATTTCGATTAGAGCTTCTTTCTTTCTCTCTCTAGCTGACTGTGTATCTAACTTTTTCCAAAACTGAGATCTAGACAAATTCTCTCGTCTGTCTGAGATACCTTTCCCCCTTTTCTATGGGCTGCTTTGGCTTGTGGTTTGCGATCAAGTGGCCGGAGTCTTTCATTAGTTTAGCAGCAAAACCTCCAACTTGGGCTTTCATTGTCCAGAATTATGAGCAACTTTCATAACTCAAAAAATAATTCTTTTTCTGTTGGAATGATTCATGTTTTTTTTTAATAAAAGATATCTTTGGATTTGATTTCAGTTCATCTTTTTAATCTTATTAAAAATAGAGTATTCAAATTAGAATTATAATTTTAAAACTTGATTTATATAAACTATGAATTCAAATAAAAAAATTAATTCATGTTTTATTTTTAAAAAATATATTGAAACAATCCGTATAAAATAAATTTTGTAATAAAAATCAGCGAATTTTAACATAATTGCATTACAGCACTTCCTTCTCTAGTTTAATATTTTTTTAAAAATCTTATACCAATTCAAATGTCATATTAATTAGATTTAGATGATTCAAGTTTATTCAAAGTTTTTTTATTTTTTTTTAAATAAACGATTCCATACAAAAATAAATTTTGTAAAAAGATATCTGTGAATTTTAACCTGATTAAATTAGACCACTTTCTTCTTTAATTTATTTATTTAAAAAAAAAACTTAAATCAGTTTAAATCTTAAATTTTTGGTTGACTTGTTAAAATTGTTTTGTAACTCTAATTAAAAGTAGAAAATTTATAGTTGATATGAAAAGAACATATCTATTAACTTTTAAATGAATAATAAATTACTCTTTAAGAAACTTTAAAGTTATAAAATAAAGTTTAATTATTAAAACAGAAAAAAGGTAATTATTGTGCATTAATGTTCATCGTAAAAGTTTAACAGTGATGCGTTGGAATTGATAAACAAAAAAATTATATAATTGAAGAGCGATCCAATTTCTTTATACATCTATGGTGTGGTTCTATACCTATTTTCGTTGGGGATCCAAATGATTCGGTAGATGCTGGATGTGTCTCAAGAGAAAACTTACCTGGACAATAAAAAAAATAAAATTGGGTAGAGCTTTGTTGCTATTTTGGAATGGAAAAAACAATAAAGATAAAAAAAATATATGTTTTTTTTTTATATTTTTTGTTTTAAAAATATAAAAAAATTAATTTCAAAACTATTTCAAAAACAAATTTATTTTATCTTATGTTTTTGTTTGTCTTTTTAACAACATGTTTTGGAATTCTCTAAATTCAATTCAATTTAAAGATTTTAATATATATTATTTCTGTTTAGAATCATTTTAAGTGTCAATAATATATTTTAAATGGAATTTAATTTTTAAAAATGATATAAAAATAAATTAGAAATCAACTTTTTTAATTCACTACACCAAAAAGAAGAAATTAACGTTAAAACTAACTTCTCAACATAAATGTTTATCCATCTTTTTTTAAGAGATCTTTGAAATAATAAAATGAAGACGACGAGGATAATATAAAAAATAAAATAAAATAAATTGAATTTTATTTTTTCTAGATGTATAAATTTAATTTATTTATTAATGCTATTTAAATTAAATATTCTAATTAAATTTACTTATATTAGCGAAATGATTTCAAACAATTTATAATTAAATATATTTGTGTTTTTAACCAAATAACTTAAATTAAATTGTTAAGTAAAATTTTAATAATAATTTTTTATTATTTTATAATATTCTAATTAAAAAGAAAGCTCTTTTGATCTGGAATTTGTAAAGTCTTGTATTATCTTATATTTTATTAGAAAAAAATAAAAATATAATGAAATTAAAATTCATAATTATTTAATCATTAAAATTTTAATATTATATAACAAAAAAACTATTTTTCACTGCATAACTTAAATTATTAACTAAGATTCCCATTATAGTGTTATATTACTAATCGAACCTAATAAAATGTCTAGGGAGAATAATGATAAATATCCGAACTAAATTATAACAAATTCATGTGTAACATACAGAAGATCCATCATTCCAAGCATAGAAAATAATATTTAAAATGATGGGTAAAATTAAACCTTTTGTATTCATCATTGTTCATGTTTTTTTTACTGAGAACCATCATGATAGAGGCACAAAAGGGAACAGTATATTTATAGTATGGTCCTTGAAAAACCAAATGCTATCACAAGTACTTTCCATCTTGCAAGTTGCTTGGTGGGACAAACAAACAAGGACCTGTCATGTCGTCGCTTGCTCTATGCATCAATAATTATCTTTTACAAATTGTGTCTTTAGGCAGGTGAGTGTATGCGGGAAGAATCAAGCAATTCTGCCGATGGATCCCACCTTTTCTTGGCTTTTCTGCCAATCATTGATTCAGAAAATGGGAATTTTCCAAAAAAATTCATTTGATTTGCATGTTTTGTTTTCTAGTTTATTGATGATTTGATATGACATAAATTAACGTTGGTTTGAATTTTGAAGTGATTTTAACTTCAATTCATTTTTACAACATAGATAACACTTGGACATGTGATTTTCCCTTCATCTATGATGGCATTTACCTTGAAAAATATGAATGAAAAATGGATCAAGCAGAGAGTTTTATTAGTAAGTAATTCTTTTCTAACAGTTTGCTCTCAGAATATAGATTGTAACTTGTTAAATAACAATTAAATCGAATTTTACAGGATAATAATAATCAAAATCCTAATTCGAATAGAAAAATAACATAAAACCTGAGAGTACACAAGATAGGTTCTCAGGGTCTCCTCCGTGAACCCTCAGAAACAAACCCAGTCCTGATGAAATGGAACAAAGGCCAGCTTTGAAGTCCTGTTTTACCCCCTCAATTCATGCAAAAGTTGGATCACATGCAAGAAGCACACACATCATCCAAAATGTCCCATCTCTTAGCATTTTAGTTGCTTCACAGCAAAAGCAGAAAAAAAAAAAGCTTATAGACACAGATGGGATAACGCAGCAAGCCAGCAACTGGCAAAGACACAGACGGATGTTCTGGTGAAGGAGCTACCAGTACCTAGAAAATAGCACTAGCAAGGTTTTCAATAGATGATTCAAAGCCTGTCAAGGCAGGTTTTTCAGGATCCTTTTGTCAAGCTAAACGTTGCAAACACAAACAACTACGAATATAGAGCGGGGGGGAGGGGGTGGGGTGACAACAGGTTAAGAAGTACACATCACTACAAACTAAATATTAATCAAGGTCCCTTGCCTTGAAATACCAAGCTTTGATCTATGGTCATGGAGTCTTTTCTTGATCCTTTGTTGGATCCCGGAAAAGACTGTCAGTAACCGCGAAAATGTCAAACACCCGGTCCTGGATTAGTTTAGAGAACTTCAAAGGCCTGATGCTCTGGAATCCAAGCTGATGATTTGAGGGGCAAACAGTTGCAGCTTTCACTTTTGCGACATCAGCACCCATGCTAGTGGGGACCTTATGGATCTTTTTGTTTCGAGTAAATGGCATTAGTGCACTGCGTATGGGTATCTCATCTAATGAAACACAATTGCTTTATGTTTTCCAGTAATTTTCCCTTTTTTTTCTGAAACAGTATACTCTTGCTTCGTGCTTGGTTCAGTCGATAGCACCCGATCATTATTGCCAAGACTTTCAACACTAAATCAATCAATGACTCAACAGATTTTGCACACTATTTGTCTTCTCATTCCATGATCGGCTCCTCCTATTTCATCTCTGATAACCTGAGCTTCTTTTGAGGTGACTTGTAGTGGAAACTACTTCAAAATCTCTGGTATTTTTGTCACTCGAAAATGGTATAGACTCTGCGACTTGACGAGGCAAGAAACTAACTTTGGTTCCACTATTGGTAAAAAGAATTATCATCTTTTTGCCAGGTTGGAGGTCGTTGTACTGGTAGAATATCGTTGAGGCTGGTTTTTTGTTTTTTATGGTTATCTTGTATCAGGATGAAGTTGATGGCAGTCCCCTGTGAAACAATATAATCAAATATTTTGTGGTTGCCATGTTTTTTCTACTATTTATGTATACAGGTTTGTTCTTTTTTTTTCCTTATATTTATTGACCGAGGTTTCTTCCATTGATTTTGAGAGCACATTTTCTAAGCATAACACCAAATTGCAACTGTACTTCTGAATGTGAATACCTGATAAGGCTGGTTTTTCAGGATCACCTTCTTCTTAAGAAAACCAGGGCTTCCACACTAAAACAGGGTGAGGGGGTGCGTGTGTATGACAAACATAAACAGCTACGACATCAGGGAACGGACGGAAGTACATACATATTATAAACAGCAACGACAACAGGGAAGGGACGGAAGTACATACATATTATAAACAGCAACGACAGCAAGGCAGCAAACTTATTAAA